ATTTTGGTGATAGGTGTGTCAGTCAACATAATGAAGACAACTGGGTGATTTTTGCTACGCCTAATCGAATACAGTAATCAGATCTGAGATTCTGAAATTAGAGCAATCTCCCATTTGAAGAAGAGACGACTTCATCTTCCCATCTTTGACACGATTTTCTAGAAGTTTTCTTCTGCTTGAAAACACCACGGCGGCAATTACGTAATCGCATTTTACGCAATTCTATCTTGATTTACAGTAGTATATCCAATTACGATCGTGTATTCTATCACTATGGCTAAGCCAACTAGAATTATCAATGCTCAGACAAGGTCGTCACTGATGGTGATACGGTAGAAGGAGGTGCAGTCCTCATTCTCTCTCTGATAGCCTCTACTTTACGATCACCTTCTGCCCTCCGAATTCCTATTGATTCTGTGCCTATGGGATCAATGTGCCTTTCCCAAAACCCCGATGAAATGTTGTGGCCAGCCGATGTACAAGTCAGTGATTTTGCACTAACAAACGAGTCTGGTACCAATTCACCTACCTCTGTAAAAAGTACAAGTCGTGGAAAGCTCTATAGATTTGGGCGGATATCGATTCAAGTTTTCGACTCCCATGAAATGCTCATGATAATGGACCACATGGCACTATACCAATTCCGATGCTCAAGAAGGGGGAAAGATACTTCAGCTTCCGAGCGCTCGAGCAAACCTTGCTGCTGAACAACTACTCATCGAGACCCCTATGTTCACTAAAATCATTTCATGGTAGTCTTGATTACCGAGAGCTTGAAAACAAATAAACAGCGGGAGAACAAACAAACAGGTACTTGGATCTCTACTAAACTTGAAGATCGCTCAGAGGAAGGGGACGTTGGTAAGGTTGCATAAATTGGCAAAGGGCCAAACCAGTAGTTACCTTTTGGATGGCGCTTACTAGTTAAAAGGTTTTTGAACATCAGCTTTCTGGAAGATAAGCGAGCTTCTGAGAAGTACTAAAGGACCGCTTCGCGACTGCGCGCGGCAGCACTTGTGAACCTCACAACCTCAGATTAAAAACTTAAAAAAACAGGCAGCTGCTGTCGCCGAGGCGAAGCCAGAATTTTTTGAACCTGTGCACCAGTTGTACTGCTTCACAGTCATATGTATTTGATAAGTTTATTGCATGTTACTATGTAAAAGAAACTTTCCTTTTATTACTAATTTGTTTACTCTGATGGGAATTACTCCTAGGTTATTTGGGGGATTGTTCAGACTATCAGCCTTTCCTACTGTACTTTCGTCAATGTTCCTGCCGGGATTCCTCCATCTTTTCCTACAGTAGCAGTTTTCATGTCGTGATTTCGATGTTGCTTTTGTAGAACTACACTGGTCGCTTTGATGATCTGGTGTTTCAGAAACCATATGAGTGTGGCGAACTTGGTGCCGGAAGGCGCAAGTCCGCCTCCGGAGCCACCACCTCGAGACTATACGGACATGACGATTGACTTTCGTGATATTGACCAAAGAAGAGCTACTGAGGATGCTGCTAATGCCATTGCCGATGCAGATGAGCCACCCATCGACGGAGACGTGAAAATTCGCGCTCGGATGGAAGCCTGTCGTCAAGGGATGATGCAACTCGAAGCGCTTCGATACAAACACATTAAACTTATGCAGGTGAACTCAGAGAAGCATTGTTTTGCCTTGTTTACGTTTATCTAGGAAATAACTGTTTACCTTGGTCTAGCAACTCAGAGTTTTCTAAACAGGAGCACTACCCTAAAAAGGGAACTCCAACAAAGTTGAAATTGACCTCTCATCAGATAGTGTTTACTCTCGAAATCGTCNTAGACAAAAAGGGGGCTCTACGTTTAGGGTCCTACTGTACCTTATTATTTGTCATAACTATCCCTTTGAGCTATATCAGTAGAGCTCACCTATTGGCCTAAGCGGGTTATGATGGGCTATGAGTCCCTTTGGCGTGAGGAAAAGCATTTCATCAAAAGAAAAAAAGCTATCGAAGCTATCGCTATGAGTGCCTGGTTTGTAGGAAATGCGTGGCCGATTACCAACGATTCCTGGCTGTGCAGACGTCCAGGCAAGGATTAAACGCTGCGCTGCTGCCAACGACCGTTCTTCTCTACAAAGCGTTGACAGCGGTGTTAGTTCGCTGGAACAGGTAGCGTATCCATTCAGAGCCATTTCATTCTGCTTTATTGGTTCATTCGCCTCATTACAGTACTAGAAGTCTCACCAGAAATCGGGCATCTATCAAAATTCAGTCGCTCTTGATACCTTACAGCGTCTTTTCAAGAACATCAACCTAGACCCCCGGAAAGATTGGTTGCTCTGAGACCTTTCTGTTCTAGTGGTATAAAATAATGTCCCGAAGGTGTAGGAAGGGCCAAACGTCTTCTATCGAGCACTCCTCGTTGAGCATTTTCTGGATTGTGGCCCGGATAAGGAGTTACGTCAGCGCAAAAAGGATCGGACCAGTCTCAATACAATAAAACCTGTCATCACGCAAGTGTTTACCTTCCCGATCCAATATCTAAGCTTACTATCAAATTCTCGGCCGTTGGACTAAAGTGTAAGCAAAGAAGGCTTTGTGTGTTAGCGCTTTTGGCTTGGAAGAGTAAGGCACAAGTATGGTGGGGACTGGCGAGCTTGAACACCGTGTCAGGGTCAGTGACGGTCAGGAAGTGCCAAGTAGTGCCAGTACGACATGGTGTTGTTGGTTTTTCGACTGACCCAGGAAATCTCTTAGCAAGCTCTCAGAAAAATGCTAATCAACGGTGTTTTTATCACTCCAAAGTAGAAGAACCGGCACGAGCTCGACCAGAAGTGATAGAAACGCGAACTTGTACTCCTCGAAAGCAGACGGCGACTTTTTGGACCGGAACCACCTTCGGCATTTGAAGGTGTGACAGAATGGAGGGGAGGTCGTTTTGGTTGAAGAGGAACATTAGATCCTAAAGAGGTTTCCTAGACGTCTCTCTTTAAACTAACACACCCAAAAAACGGCTCTTTAGATCTTTTCGATGGAGACTCCCATGAGGAGCCGTGCACCGACACTTCTTCGCTTTCCCGGGGAGTACGTGAAAGATGTAGTTCAATTATAAGTGGAATTCCAAATGCGGTTATCGCTAGTCAGAACTTCCAGTTCTCGGTTGCACATTTTCGGCATATTTTCGTGGTTGATTTCTCGTCTTGGCGACCACCAGATGGCCCTTTCCTTTGTCTTTGATCGCCTTTACTCTCTATCTTTCTCCCGATGACACTCAAACGGGGCGATCCAAAGCGGAGATGATGATTATGATGATGATGGCCTTCGGCTTTCGCGCAGCCAACGCGTTCCGTTCACCCCGATTTCCCCCCTCCCTGTATCTTTAGAGCGCGCCTAATTTATGACGATATGAACTTTTCTATCTGCTCACGGATGCCTCAATCGAGATTGAAATCAAAGTGATCGTCGCATTCCAATTCGGATTCCAGGGGGTCTGGGTGGCAGGGGTCGAGTTCGGGGGGAAGTACCTGATCATCTTGGAGTCTTTTTCGTGGAACTTCCTCTCTGCTTTTCTTCCAAAGACAGATCTCCCTGGAAAATACTGTTCTGATTGGTCCACATTAAGCAGCCCTTTCTCGAAATACGCCAAGTGGAAGAGAACTTCAGTCGATCCTGATTTAGAGTACGCCATGCATTGGAGTTCCATCGGTAAATTGTTTTGATTTGGCCTTCAATTATCAAACAATTGATCGCAAAAAAAATGAAAAGCCTGAGAAGTATGGATGACATTCGATCCGTGATCTCTTTTCTAAGTTATATGTACCGTAATGGCGCCACTTGGCATTGCGCCATGCTCTCTGCACAGGTCAAGGACTATACAGATGAGCACAATGTGTGTGGCATGGGTGTAGCGAGAGGCCTCCATTCAGCCATACACAATGTCCTCACCAGCACCGTCCTAGATAAAGCTTCAAAAATTGTGCGAAATCCGGACTTCGTTCCGCTTCGTCGCGCTTTTTTTTTTACTTTCAGGCTCTTCTTAATTTTACTATTTTACTAATTTTCTTGAAACTGGGAGAAAATCACATGAAGCATATGGCCTTTGTTTCAGAACATACCATCAACCCGCTGCTCATCACCTTCAATCAGCCATCGCTCATCCGTCAGCTGTGATTCTGGCTGCAGCAGTGTCTACAGTAATGAAATTAGGTATATTCCCATTATTATCTATAGTTATTACGGCATAACCACGGTATCCAAAGCAGTACTGAACTCTTGAGAAGGTAACCTAATTAGGATTTGTGGGATGAAGATGTTACTTCAAGTTCCATTCGTACATATCATAAAGCCTAGCTCGATACTACGTCTCGCTCTCAGAGCTTTTCCAGCTTTTGAGAGCAGCACTAGTTAAAGAAGAAGAGATAGTGGGGGAAGAGGAAGAAAATTCCAACTTGTATTGGAATCTGAAGTTCAAATTACAGGGACGAGTTGTTACCCTCGATTTCGGTCTTTATTGTTGTGGCTGACTACCGAAGAATGGCTATAAACCTCCCTACGGAAAAATTATCTGCAAGGGGTACTGGCCTTCTAGATAGACAGGGTCACACTGGGGTATGTACTCCATGCCCTTGTTCAATGGCTCTAAGCCAGGAATCTTGCAAAGTCAGTCTTCCCTTATCAGGGATTGGTCGATTCGATGAAAAAACTGTTACACTTCCAAGTCAATTACTCGATTCCTCTTAATTAGAGATATTTTCAGCACAAACACTCGACCGATGCCCTATTCAATCTACCGTAAACTATCTATTGAACAGAAGGAAACCGTACCGACAGAATCCAATGATACCGTTACACCTATACCCATAGTGGTGAGTGTTCCATCATATTTTCTGCAAAACCGAATTGAGATGGTAACTGCGTGACAGCCCTCTATGTTTCACCATTGCATTGACTTTACGGTGCTTTACTTACCAGTAAACGCAGTCTTTAATAAAAACTGTTAGCCTAGATTAAACTCGTAAAAAACGTGGCAGCAGCCTTTGTAACTCTAGTGGTGCGCATTGAAGCTGCCCGCGACGCGACCGCGTGCGCGATGTGCGGGTATTGCGCCTACGATCTGATCCGCTTGAGCTGTTTCAAAAACTGACCAACAAAGGGAAAGTAACCATTCTTTCAGGCCACAACAATTGCCTCCACAACTAGCCTTCGTTCGGATAGGATTGCACGGGCATGGCGTCGACAACAACAGCGTCCACGTAGTATGTTCGATCACTCACCAGAACAGAGGTAATCGATTACCGATTTTCGGAACTTTTGATTTTATTTAGATCAGAACAGTCGTTCACACTTCCTATTTAGTCCTCGTCGGGACTCGATGATTGATACGACTTCATTTATGCAAATCACACCACCACCTGTACATCGTAAAATGGGAGTAGTTGGACAGGTAGGGGACTTTTGAGTTTTTACCAGCTGCCTCAGTTAACTGGCCATTTCAGCCACCACGTTCGCCATTGGCCCCGATTCGACTGTCAGTGAATATATCACCTCCATCTTCACGACCTCTACGAACAGCTCAGCGCCCTGACATCGTGAAGGTGGCCAAAGTAGAGGTACGTCCGGGAAGCTTCCCTGCCACTCAGAGTTCTCTTACGTAGTCGATTCCACTGGGAGCTATTTTTTGTGCAGTGGCTTTAGCTTCTTTCCTCTTAACTGGGTTGCTTTCAGAATGCAGACATGGTCTTCCGGGCAAGTCGGATTTTCGTCGATCGCAGTCCACAACAGGACCGTCGTCAGAGTACAATGGTTGTACAACCGAGTCCACGTACGGAAAAGCGAACTCGCCGTCCGAAAAGCATGTTCGAGCAGGTCGATGAGCCACTCTATGCCACACCAGTCAGGGCGATGAACAGGTGGGTATTTCTCAGCCACTCTGACAGTTGCCGTAATTGTTTGCGAGTAGGTGGGTAACAAACGAAACGTCGTGACCTGTCTGAGTGGCCTGGATAGGATAGGGACTTTAATAGGGCAGTAACAGATCGTGAGGTAGCAGTCCAGCCGCCTAGGAGGTTCGGAAAGTGGCATGCGGTTCTGCTAACATTTCCATTGTTTATGGATTGAATCCCATATAGGTTTATCTCTGTGTTCATATAAAAGGTTGACCTAGTTACCGGTTTCATAGATAGATAACTCTGAGGAAATTCGTTCCAGTGTTCGTTCCAAAGACATATCTTTGAATACGGTAGGGGCATTGACTACACTGTAAACATGAGGTGGAGCTTGGCGAGCCCCAGATTACCCCCTAATCGGATGGGCTTTCACGTAAACTGAGTTTGTGGTGCAGAGACTAACTAATGGAACATTGCGGTCTACTTGTATTTATATTTTTAGATTGCTTATTTATTGTTTGTGCTGTGTTGTCTATTGTAATGTTTATTTGCATGACTGACTGACGAAATTTCCAGAGACTTCCGTGCTGCACCAGCTAACTCGCCAGCAGTCGTACGAAGAACAGCGTTTGTTCCTGTCGTTTCAAGGTGGGTACTTTTTACCCACATCCCTTTGTTACTGATATACTAGAAGGCTGTGCACGAATTCAATTACAACGGGATTGTGCAACTTTTTCGTGCAATATCGTGCACACCCTCGTTTTACCGACCTATCCTTTCATTTGTACTTTTTTCAGGTTCATTCCTAGTAACAATAACTCTGATCATCTACGACCTCAAAAGGCACGACCAATCGAGAAAAATTGGCACGAATCTGAAGGCCTATGAGAGAAGTATGGCACGATTATCGACATTTTGAACGAACATTGAACTAAATTCTTTGACATTCAGTTTACAATATATTTATTTGAAATTGTTATCTTGCTATGTATGTTAGACGATTCGATGACGATTTTTTGACTCATAGATTGTAGTATAAACGCGAACACATATTTGCCAGCACGTGCTAAGCGGCGTTCTAAATGACACATTTCATGGAACTATTCAAGTATATTCCACTGTGTTAAAATGCTATTACCTTGAATTACTACTTCTCTTTCTATAAATGCCTTGAAACAAAAAATTCATTTGATATAACCTATTTAATTTCATTAAAGCGGAGGTGGTCTAGTGGCAAGTGACGTTCTTCACACACGCATGGTCACGGGTTTGATTCTTGGATTGATACTTGCCTGGACCAACCGATCTTCTTTCCCTCTGGGGTCGGCTAATTGGTACCAGACTCGTCTGGGAGGATAAAACGCACTGAGTTGTACATCGCCTGGCCACCGCAAGTCATTGTAGCGGCCACATATGCATTCAATAACCACTACGATTCTGAATGGAAGTCGAAAGCACGGCGCATCCCTCTGATGGTATTGATTAACGCTCCGTGACTCTTTCTCCCATTTATTGTTTTCATTTCGCTGGTGGGTGTGGTGAAGTTGGAAGAAGTGTCGCATCATGCCCAAGGGACAGGGTATGTTTCCACCCAAGGTAGCAGTTGTAGCATTTTACCTCTCCCCACCTCTGTATTCTTCCCCGCGGCGTCTCCCACCCACCCATCACATACCACTCGATACGCCCTGCACGTGGCCGGTGGGTTGGAGACGTCGTGTACGTAGCATGTGTTCTGGAGTAGCTGCTTAGATGTACTGCTAGGGCGCAATTGCAGACTGCGATAATGGTTAGTAATATACCCTACTGACCCACCCTACTGAATGATACCTGATTACCTGAAGGGTCTTGAACGAAGAGGAGGGAAGGCAGGGACTCCGAATAGAAGGCGAATGCATGGCGCAGCTAACGAGGCCTAATGGTTACCTAGTACTTCAATCCTTTCAGAGTAGTGCCTTTTACTTGTAACCCAGTTGTTTCCTATACATTGCCTTGATTGGTATAAATACTAAAAGAGTAACTATTTATTACTCTGAATCGTCTTCTTCTTGAGCTGTTTCTTCCATTGTAACCATCTGGGTTGGTTGCTCGGGCAGGTGGCAAACATGGCAATGGGTTGACGCTGTTTCGCAAAAGCTCGGCATTTCGATTGGAGTGAGATTCTCTCTTCTAATCCTTTCGCTCTCTCCATCTCCCTCAGCATCCAGACGAGGTTTCGGTGAACCATCCGATGCTGATAGCGGCTAAAATAAGCTCTTCAACATTGCTTCCTGATGATGAACTATTAATGCTGCAATCTGAATTCACTGGTACGCAATTGGGATCGATATCGTAGTGTTAGATATTATACACCGAGATTTGGTTTATTTTTTTTGCTTATTTTTTTAGGTAAATTTCGACTTTCTCAGAAGAGCTTTGGGGATTTTCGATAGCACGATAGCAATAATGCTGAAACATAGACTATTGATTGTTCAGGATCCAGCGCGGTCATATATACATAACTATAAACACTGTACGCGATCTTATAAACCCACAGTAAAAACTGTCACCGTTACCTAATGAATCAACACTTACAGGAGGGGCGAGAACCTCAAATGGGCGACAGATGATCAAGCTAACAATAAGATGAATCACATATTTGCAGTACAAACTTCGTATGTTAGAAACCAGCCCATAAGTTCTTGTAGAGTGAACTTTGAAGATGGGCGATAGCTGTTTCAGTCAGTAGTGGACGAGTTTCAACGGCGTTGTAAGACCGCACTATCTCGAGAGACTCACATGTAGGAAGTTACAATAACTTGTCCGTAACCCACGAGAGTGAAAGGAAGTTTCGGACAATTTTGGATTGATGAGGTCAGCTCTTTGTGCATTGGGAGTGACCCCTTACATGTTATTCCCGTCACACTGATCTCTTCCAACCTCCACTTCAACCACTTTTGAAAAGCCTTGTTTTTCGTGAAGTAGGTAGGTTTCACCGACTTACTGCTCTACATCAACACGTCCACTTTTTCACTTAAAAAGGGTGCCTCAAAATTATCGTGAACTGCGCCTTCAATAGGAGGGTCAAGGAAGGTGCGTCGGAATCTCAGGTACTACTGCCCGGTCTGCTTGCAGAGTAACTACAACTATAATTTCAGTGGGATCATTACGGTATTTATCCGAAAAAGGTATAAGTAAACTGACTTCGTTGTCACAGTTTGTGTCTTGCCAAGGCATTTTATTCTTATTACAACAGGATCTTGATGAAACACCTGCCTAAATTGGGTTGTAACGCCCAGCTCTACTTCTGCACCTGTCGTAAACTCAGTACTATACTTGACGGTTTAACCGATTCGCACCCGGATTCCTAAGTATTGCCCCCATACCATACAAATTCTGAATGATTAGCAAGGTTGCTCATTACTCAAACCAACTTGAGAGGTTGGCCTGAATACTGAGTGAGTTCTGAGGTAATACTTGCGGTGGCTAAACATACATACAAATGGGTAGAGATTCTGAGCGTGAGTCTGATGCACGGCTTATCAAGTCTAAGCTAGCCATGCGTATGATTTCTGAATGCTTGGGCAGGAAGTTGTGAAAAAAGCGAATTCATACACAAGACAAGAAATTGGAAAATGATCGACTGGCTCGGGATGCGCCATGCATTCGAGAACCATTCAGAGTTTTGGTGATTGCGAGATATCGACTCATGAATCCAGCTCATAAAATGGCTTGTGGTTGTTAGTCGATGGCGAATGGCCATCCACCGATCTAAGAAGGCTCGAAGGTTCTATTGACGTGGACGGAATTTGAACGGCACATATGATCGTGACACCTCGTCCACCATCTCCTTGGAAACTGAACGAATGGTAGAGAAGAGTAACTCACTTCTCTGATGGTACGTTCGGCATCACCGACTCCGGCTACCAACTTGTACGTGTAGCGTGGTACAGGTACACGATACCACTGCAAATAACCTTCTAAATAATATTTGAACTGTTGCGGTAAAGACGCTTTTCAGGAAACTTCTTAGCACTTTTATAGGAAGGCGGTCGTTTGGCTCGGCCCCTCACGTCGCGCCGCCCTTTCGAAGCGATTGTTTTTGAGCTGGAGAACTCGTCCAGGTGATCGGGCAACCCAAAACCCATTTAGCTGAGAGACGCCCGATCGATGATGCCGCCACTGTTAGACGCCGGCGTCATCGATAGAGTTCCTAAGTCGGTGTCCGCGCCAAACGACACTTTTATCCCCTCCTTATAACTTGAGGAACGCCCATTACTCGTATGTTGCGAAATTAGGTCACCCCGCCCACGATGCGCGAAGCAGTTCAATGGGATCTCGGGATGGCATGACAGTACCACTTGGTAAGTGTCAGTGGAGCGAATGATTTGCACTAGTTCGTATTTCCTTGTCTTTAAGCTGACTGCTGTGGACCAAGGGCAAATCCTATGCCCCACTGACAACTGCGATATCCGTCAAAAATCGCATGCTGACACGCCGCGTGCGACGACTGCGGCGTAACCTAGTTTCGACTGACGCGTAGAACGATGCTCACCCATAACTGACTAGTTTGGATACTTTCAGTCAATGGATAAGCCGTTCAGTATTATGTTTATTGTTCAATTCAAAGCTTAACAAATCCATTTGCTTACCATCCAATACGAAATCACGAACGTAAGTACAATGACCCAACCACCGATGAAGATCGCTACCACATAAGCACAAAGTGATTCTTCAAACGTATGTGGATCCATTATCACACGGCCGAGGTCTACACCACAATTCTGAATCAGTACAAATTGCGGTTTCAAATGATGGGGGTTGACGAAACTATCGTGGATGCGCCACGCATTCAACTCGACTCGAGATGAATGATATGGCTTCATGAACAATTTGTTGTTTACAACAACTATTTCACATTTGAGGTATATAAAGGGCTATATATGAGTCTTTGGCGTTAATCCCGCCCAGTGTATGCTGAAATAACCGACGTGAATTCTGTATCGTAGTGGCGTTTGAATAGGTATATTGCAGATACTATTCTTGTGGTGGCTAGCCGAACCGACAGGTCAGTGCTTTCATAACCCTAACGGGTATAGCACAAATCAATCGACTTCGAGGTGATACAAGACTCAATTAACCCGGGCGAGTAACGATCGGGAATTCGATCCTGAGACTATGCGTATAGCAGGTGGGAAAGCTGCCACTGCCTCCACCAGACTCTGGTGAAATGTAGTTATATCGTGACAGGAAAGACCTTAACAATTATTCTGCCGTATCCTGTACTTTCCCACGATTAATCAACTCTGGCCAATGACTCATTCTGGGTTCAAACTTGACAACGCCTCGAGACCCAGCGGAAACTTCCGAATCAAATGAAAATCTGAATTCGGTCCATGATAACCACTTACTACGTTTGCTGGTAATAAACACCATAAGTAGCACCGTCCTAATCGCCAACCGTTCCACCGCATTAATCTTATCAAAATGCTTGTCCATTTGCAAACTCCAACAATTAACTAACCATTGATATGGATTGATGAAAGCCTACGTTTAGTCACGTCAAGTTCGCGTAAATAATGTGAACATGGGCTTCAAAAACGCGCCCGAGAGGAGATGTGGGAGGTATTTTGTGTCATCTTAAGAAACTCCTATATAAATACTTCTATTTCGTTTCTACTCCTGGTCATAGGTTTCCCACGACCATAGAATTTTTAAAGTACTTTTTTGGAGAAAATATGATTGAAGCGGGTGTTGCTTCACTGTAGTCATGTCTCTGATGTTATGGGCTAGAGGGCGAAGTAATATGGGACCTGCCTTAAAAGGTCCGTAGTGATACTCAGATAGGCTTCTCACTATGGGGGTGAAATTAGTCGCCTAAGTCTAAGGACGAGAGGAGCGTCAGGCGAATGAGTTGCTCCACGTCTAAAAATTGGATTAAAAGAGTTAGTAGCTGATGGGATGCTATTTCACAGAGAGAGCGCAGACAACACGACGAATGCAACGAAGGTATAGTCGTACATCTGTAAAAAGAGGATAATGCCTCTTTATAAAGCGCTTTTCTTCATTCAATCAGAGATTTCATAGTAACTGACAGGTACTATGTACAAACAAGATTGGCATGCAACGACAATGGAAACATCTCGACAATATCTACCCTACTGTACTAGTCGACTAGCTCTCCGTTTTCGCTCAGTGATTGTCTCTTCAATTACTTGATCGAGAATTACCTGAAAGAGAAAAAAAGTTTGGTGACGGGTAAAGTCATCAGCTGCTCAGATAAACTCACTTTAATCCCCATCCAAGTCTCTTTTCCAATCGGTATCAGCCAGTGGGGTTTGATTTGAAATGCGAACCAGGCTGAAACTACGAAATTACCCTGTGCTTGTAGAATGCGCGTATTTGAAATGCTTTGTCATTCGTGTAGTACATTACATTTCCCAACGCAACACCCAAACGTTAAGGTCCAAGGAGCTTTCACTGGGGAAGATACGCCCATCGCAGGCAGTCCCGCCCAATGTTTATAGACGTCTTTTTCTTATGTTTTTCTTTGACTTGTTCAACTATCCTAGAATATTAATTATGTGTATGATCTCTTCATACACCTTCCACTCATTTCTTCTCGGAATGGACCCGTCTACGCGACCCGTCTGTACACTTTGGAGGTCCCATGAGAAAAGTAGCTATCGATTTCCGATGGGAGGTGAACGGGTATATACGATAAGAGGTACACTGGCACCTTGCCAATTCTGACTGAATCTTATCTAATCCATTATTTGGCTGATTTGTTTTGTAGTTATCAGTAGTATGACTTAACCAATCAATCAATCGATTGCCCAATTCTGATCGATTTTAAGAGGCTATCTGTGGACGACGATGTAAAGTGAATTTTTTCCGTTACATGTGAACGGGTGTGGTGCATTAGGAAAGAAATGGTCGCGTCGCGGTGAGAGGCGTCGCGCGCGAAGGAATGTAGCAGGATGCAGCAGTAGGTAAGAAATACGAGAACAAAAGTACTAATAGTAGAATTATGCATAAAATAATGATCGCATATCGATTGAGCTGTATGAAGAACGCTAGAGCTGTAATAACGGCNAATGAGTGGTCCGCGACAGCCGCGTGCGGCAAATCGATTACCCAAAATCGTTCCTAACGCCCGTCTCCCCACGTGAACCACTTTCTATAAAAATGGATTACTTACTAGACATGTCCGGTGGTAATTCCAGAACATAGACGTATTTGGTGGGAGTATTCTTCTTGATCCAATCAGTGGCACCACCTGTTGCTGTTCCTAAAAAATCGATAGTCACCCTCATACTCTTCATTACTGAGTTTTTTTTTTATATTCCTAGTATTAATGACTACAATTGAGCTCATCATTGAGTCATAAGGCCTACACTTATCGGATGCTCTGTCCGGGCCTTAGCCACATCATCCTGTTATCTCACCGAGCATATCCGCAGCGGTACCTATCCGATACTTGGTCTCTCGGTATGAGTAGACTTTTTGAGCGGCTCGAGCGGCAAGCTTTTCCTAGAATAGTCGAATTAAAATATTACCAAAACCCAGGAATGGTAAAAAAATAGAAAATGATTTTTGAGAAATGTTTTTTGAGAGAAAAAATATTCTGAAAACATGCTCAGAAGATGAAGTGCTTTTAATATTNTACCTATCCGATACTTGGTCTCTCGGTATGAGTAGACTTTTTGAGCGGCTCGAGCGGCAAGCTTTTCCTAGAATAGTCGAATTAAAATATTATCAAAACTAAGGAACGGTAAAAAAATAGAGATTGATTTTTGAGAAATGTTTTTTGAGAGAAAAAATATTCTGAAAACATGCTCAGAAGATGAAGTGCCTTTAATATTCGATCCGCTCCCTCTGCATAGATGGATATCGATTTTACGCGCGCGCGCTGTCAATTACCTGTCAGTCGTGCAGTAGCTGTAGACGCTATTCAGAAAGGAAACGAAAGAAAATGATTTCTTACAATTATTTGATTCCGCTTCACGTGCTTCAAATCAAATATCGATTTTACGCTTGTGCAATTTTAGTTCTACTGTTTCTTTTGATCACTGAAGGAAGGAGGGCTTCAATAAAGGGAGCTATCTGATAGAATTCACTTACTAGTTCTTTGAAGTCCTCTGGATAAGTTCGTTTGTGATGGTTATACGGTAGAATCCATAACTGGCCATGAGTATGCATAGAGACAAGAGCATGTAGACGTCCGTAGATTTCCTTGGACAGCACAAAGTCTCGTACGGCTCTAGAACGATTTCGATTTGGAAGGAGCCCGCTTAGCGCACTGCCTCAGCTCTCTGTACTGCGCTTACAAGGTCTGCAGGATCGCATCCCTACTAGATGATACTGAGTAGCATGCTTGTAGCGAAAAAGGCTTTGCAAATTACAGAACAGACTTTTTCTGGCATTGGCTCTTTATTTCAATGGAAACTATGGATATTGATTCTGTAAGTGAGTTGACGCGACGACACAAATAAGATATTTTCTGGTAATGGCTCCCCATGGGTATTTAAGCTATTTATTTGTTCAGGTTCTACCTTAGAGAAGCTTCTGCTCCTTACCCGTCATCTGTAGGCGATAATCCCTAAGTTAAAAGACCCTGACCGACCCAACTGCCCGTCTCCCCACTGCACACTGCTCCCAATTGCGAATCCCTTCACGGAACAAAAAAATGCGAAAAAAACGAAACTCGTAAAATCAAGAGAAGTAATTGATTAGGAAATTGCCGGCGCAAAATTCGACGACTGACCTTGTCTCCGGCTCACTGAACGGAAAGGGTCCTTGAAATTCATCCGAGCATGGATTGTTGAACGGATA